CGTAATCTAATTCAGCAACAAACAATTTAAATGACATTTCGAGATGGTGGAGAAGATTTGTAGCTCAGGTGGATGATTTTGGTGGTGTTTTGTTCTCTGAGCTGGATGGTTTAGTCGTGGAGCTTTCATCGTTCTTCTGAACGACATCATCAGCACAAACTTCAGATAGAAGTGAAGTGTTCGAATTTCTCCATATGTGTTTCACAGCTTGTTCTGTGCACCTCGATGTTGATTGGTTCTTGTTGACCTTAAATTTATCATTGTTTACTTCTTTGTTTTGGTTGTGTCTCCCATTGGTTTGATTTTTGTTCCTATATTTATGCATGATTTTCCTGATTGGTTGATAAATTGGATTGATTTCAATATGTTTGTTGATTGCTGATTGACCTGAGTGCCAAGCTTCAAAAAGCACCAACGGCACACAGCATCAGAACCCAAATCAAGCACAAAAATCAACAAAAGGATCACCCTACCGTACATACAAGGAATATCAGAAACCACAACGAGACTGCTGAAAACCTTCGGGATAGGTGTGGCACACAAACCAACAAAATCATTACAATCGATACTATGCAAACCAAAAGATGAAATAACAAAGGAAAACAAATCAAACATCATCTACAAAATAAATTGTACCAACTGCGACAAACACTACATCGGACAAAGCGGACGCCCCCTCCACCTACGCCTACATGAACATCAATTAGCAGTCAAACGCCATGATATCTCTTCACTTATATCAATACACGTGGATAACTACGGACATTCATTCGATTGGGAAAATGTAGAAATCTTAGACAGAGGAAACTCCAAAAACACCAGAGAATTTTTAGAAGCTTGGCACTCAGGTCAATCAGCAATCAACAAACATATTGAAATCAATCCAATTTATCAACCAATCAGGAAAATCATGCATAAATATAGGAACAAAAATCAAACCAATGGGAGACACAACCAAAACAAAGAAGTAAACAATGATAAATTTAAGGTCAACAAGAACCAATCAACATCGAGGTGCACAGAACAAGCTGTGAAACACATATGGAGAAATTCGAACACTTCACTTCTATCTGAAGTTTGTGCTGATGATGTCGTTCAGAAGAACGATGAAAGCTCCACGACTAAACCATCCAGCTCAGAGAACAAAACACCACCAAAATGACATTTCACTTTTATAGGTTACATCGTTGAAGCAGGAGCAGCATATCTACAACTGAACAACATCTGCAACTCAAAACAACTCTCATCCATCATCATCGTCGGAATTTTCAATACAAATGTCAAGATAGCTTCACTGTATGGGGCGGAAACCCAGAGAACTAAGAAAGTCATCATCCACAAGATATAGGTGTTTACTAACATCTGTCTACGCAAAATACTTCGGATCCGTTGACCAGACACTATCAGCAACTACCTACTGTGGGAAAGAATAAACCCGATCCTAATGGGTGAAGAAATCAGGAAAAAGTGCTGGAGTTAGATCGGACACACATTGAGAAAATCATCCAACTGTGTCACAAGGCAATTCCTCACATGGAATCCTCAAGGCCAAAGGAGGAGCGGAAGACCAAAGAACACATTACAACGAGAAATGAATACAGACAGACATGAGAAAAATGAACACAAATTGGATAGAACTAGAAACGGAGGTCCAGAACAGAGTATGTTGGAGAATGATGGTCGATGGCTTATGCACCAATGGGAGTAACAGTCGTACGTAAGTAAGTAAATTAAAAAATATAATTGTTACAAACATTTTTTTCGCTGGATTTTAATTAATGCTTGCAAGTTTTCTTTCATAAATTTAAATTACATAACAACCTTAATTAATTGGTATCTTGGTTACTTATCAATCATGTTTGTTTTTTGTGTTTCATCGAAAAAACACACACAATTTCCATATTTGATTTGTTTTTATATCTGAAAAGAAATTTGATTGATACATTGAACATTGAATAGTTTTAATTTTTTGATTTCTAATTTGACATCATTTGTTTATTCTGTAATTGTTTTTTTTTTTTAGAAAAAGAAGAAACTTGAATTAAATTTAAAGAGAAAGAAGTGAACCATAACGAAATTAATTTCAATGATATGTACATATGATAAGGTTTTAAATGAACTTCAATAATGGAAAATAAGACAAAGTTGATTTGGCGGTTTATTTTAACCTGATAAGATTTTAGTAAGAAATAGTTATAATTTATAATTAATTTTTTGGATTGAGATCATGAACCGATTGATGTTAGATCACCACCATTGAAAACCTGGAAGCACTGGACGGCCGTTTCGTCCTATTGTAGGACTCCTCAGCAGTGCAATTAATCTAATCTGTTTGTTAGTAGAAGTCAATTGAACTGAAAATAGTCGATAGAATTGTTAAATGATCTTAGTTTTACGAAAGAAATGAGTCGTTTAGTTGTTTTGTAATGAACGAGAATATAGGTGGAGATAACCAATTGTATTTTAATATAAAATTACAGAATATGAAAACTATATATTAAATATTTCATTTACAAATTTCCATCATCTACGTTTTACATTCAGTATAATTTTTTTCGATTCATAATTCCTTTCTAATACCGTTCCTTTTTTCTTTAAGTCAACTTTCATAGCCTTCTGTCGTCATGTTTTTCACTTTCGACTGGTGTTGCATACTACTTATAACAGTGGATATAACCAGCATATACCACAGTTTTATTTTTCATCTTTAGTTGCATAAAGAGCAAAGTGTTTATTTTAGTGAGAAACAAGAAAAAACACTATTTTCAAGTTGTTTTTTTTATAAATACTTGGTTTCTATGTATACAACAGAGTACCGTTATAAAATGTATGAAAAACAAATGGGTGATAGAAAATGTAACACCATAATTAGATAGTATTTCTTAATTACTGGGATCGTAATAATGGATTGAAATTTTGTGGTTTTATAGATTGCAATCGATCATCATAAACTGATGTAACGGATAAGGCTGAATGATAACTAATCATGCATATGGACTGTTGACCTTAACCCTCATTGTATAATTGTCAACATACAAAAAACTATTCAACAAAAGTCGTTTTTCTATAGCCAAGAGATAAACTTACACATAGAATATACTTCATGAGAACAGATATATTTAAATGTTTTAAGCAATAATTCTAGTGCTGTACGATTGCATAATGATTTTCTTTTCGAGGTTATTTATGAAATTACAAACAACCTCACAGCGTATGGATTATAAAGGATAACCACTTGGCAAATAACACATCATTTAATGTGAATATCACGTTCAGAAAATTTATTTTCTGATGATATTCTAAGGCAGAATACTGTTCCTTTCAAGACGCATTAAATGTTTTAGCACCTGTAAGTGTATCTTATTCCACAAGTGTGATTATAGGAACTTTAAATGTTTAACCATTCTTATTAGTGAATTCCTTAATTAAAACCACCTGTCACTTCACGTTAATACCGTCTCCAGCAAGTTTGTTTAATTTGAATAACATCAACAATATATCACTGTGTCACACTCCTCATGGATTATGGTAGACCTGGTTGACATATTTTGGTAATTATTGCTTTGTTGTTCCGTGCTCTCTGTTTTCGTTTTAATTTCTCTAGCTGTAGATAATTATCATTAATTCAATCTGGCACACGAAATGACCTGAATTACTCCGTTCATAAATCAACAGGCTGTCCATTTAAGAAATATTAAAAATTCCCGGCTGATGCATTGGATCGCTGTAATACATGTACTACCTAAACAACTACTGAACTAGAATACTTAAAACTTTCTTCTATCACATGTTTGTTCTGTACATCTAATGTTACTATTTATATAAAATTGATCATGCGTGTAAACTGGCGTGAATTCTGTAATTATTGTTTTCAGAATATATATATATAATAATAATTATTATTATTATGAAGTATTTAGACAAGCCGTGACGCAAATTGTTCTCAAATTTATTCATTCCAAGTTCATCCACTAGTTACAGACCATACATTAGAGAAAAATTTCACTTTATATATAATAAGGCAAACTACTGATTTGATATGACTTCCCTAATGATTAAATATACGTTTGCAACAAATTATTGATCATAAATTATTTTCAATCATCTCTGATCGTATTGTATTAGATTAGAGGATTTCGATGCCCAGCTGTTTCTTTCTTTAATCTTGAATACGTTACAAATGAATGTCATTAATCGGTGTAAATCCATTTAAAGATGAATCTATAGTAATTCTAAGCTTAGTAAATCAAAGCATATACATATAAACAATGAATTCAATCAAAATGATAATACTTAATACAGCAATTTAAAAGACTACTATATTCTAAATGGGTAATTGGTATAGAATATATCAAATTTAAAATAGATATACAAACATAATATGTACGTACTATTACTTGTAGATTACTGAAAAGATAGTTCATTCTCTTTGTTGTATATGTATAATTATACATATATGAAAATCAGAACGATACACTTTTGATGGAAGCCATTTACATTTTGTCAAAGAAACATTCATAGATCGATGGAAGCTAGACATTAACGATGTTGGATTCACGTTAAATGGTCTATAGGTTAAGCGTTCGCATGCGAAACTGAAGATCCTGGGTTCGAATCCCGCGGGGAGGATCGTGTATGTGCACTGTTGAGGAATCCAATACTAGCACGAGACGGTCGTCGATTGCTTCTACGTTTTCATTAGTGGTCTATCATCAGTCGATTCATGAACTCAATCAAAGACTTAACAATCTCCACAACCCCATACTGATAAAAGAAACATCTCACTATTCATTTTCTTATGGATGACAAAGAACGTTAATCGATTTTTTCCAAAGCATGTAGTTCCATTTAAATTTAGCGCTTCAGCTAACTTACACTTATACAAACGAGGAAAGAAAACTAATTAACTAATTGAATCCCAGTCAAATTGTTGAATATAATATTACATTTTTCTTTAAAACATAAAGTAAAACATTTCAAGAAGTCCTTCAACTACATACCTTTTGAAGTTTATATAAAACAGGTAGAACTCCAGAAAAGTTTAGATATTTAGATGATCCATCAGAAAGATATTGGTTCGGAATATTTGAATATCTTGCTTTCCAAGCTAATTTACCAAGATGATGAATGTAGTTATGTAATTCATGAACACGATTCCATAGAAACGGTGTTGACGACGACGACGATGATGATGATGCTAAGCTATCCAGAGGTGATGTATTGAATAATCTTGACGATGAGGAAGTTACAAAAGGTTTAGATTTATCTGTAATATAATTTTCCAACTCTTCATACGTTGGTAATTCTGGTTGTTCACAATTATCCAACTAATAATAATAATAATAATAATAATAATAATAATAATAAGTAGTAAATAAAAACATGAAATAAAATGTTTAAGTAAATAACACGTGAATCAATGTTGACTTTATTTTATTTCACATTGATAATGTAAACAATCATTCTAATCTACATTGATATGATTTATTACTGATAAAGTGAACGGGATAATGAAAAGAAACCGATGAAAATTTAGAAGAAAAGGAAAACAAGATTATTTAATCGTGATTTTCTGTAATTACGTAAACAGTATACAAAGATATTATTGTAGAGATATGGATCAAACCAGGTGAATGTTTCCATACAATTGACAATCTAGAATAGTTCATAGATCTATTCTTAATTGTAGGTAAAGTTCATTTCATGGAATAATATTATTTACATAGTTTTATATCAATAATTTATGATCTAACAAAAATTCAAATATATTCTATTATTTGTTGTTGTTAGGTGATAGGCTTTTTAAATTACATCTTAAAGAAAAATAAGAAATTTCATACACATATTTCCCTTTATTATTTTAAAGAGAGCAAGAACAAAGGTTAGTGCAGAATAATATGAATTCATTTTATTTCGTTAGGTTCTCATCAGCTGCTTACAACCTAAAATATTTAAAATTCAACATTATTACAGATATTGACATACTTCTACATAAGGGGGTGATTAAGGATGAATAAATGTATCATGGTGTAGCAAAGATTCGGATAAATAAAGTTTGAGAGGGAAAGTTCCGGAACATTGAAATAGTGATTAGAACTCATGAAAATAGATTAACGGTAATAAAGAAAATATGAATTGAAATCAGTCAGTTATGTATGATGTAATTTAAACTTCAGAAAGAGTTGGAATAATGACGCAATAAATATATAAATAAATAGGAGCAAATGAATAGAAAGGGTAGGGGTTATTGTTACCAGGGTAAAGAAAGATTTATTACTGTTTCTTTTTGTGTACATAGGTCTGGTTTTAGACGTTTGATTGCTAATGCTTCAGCAAATTTCAGAAGTTTGGAGGTTGATTGTTTATTAATCACCTTGAAGGACTTCAGTGTATCGACTTCGTGTTCTGTGTCAAGGATAATCTTTGCTACACCATGATACATCTATTCATCCCTAATCACCCCCTTATGTATTATTATTAGAAGCTTTATTCAACATTATATTTTTGGTACAACATAGAATTCTCAGCATAAAGTATTTCAACAAGTTTCCTTTTCTTATACCTTGATCTATTGTAACGATAAATTTTGAATGATGACCGGTTAGATGTTAGGAGTTCGGCAATCCACATTTGATTAATGTTCATTCGTTTCAATGCCTATTGCCAGCCACCATGATGTCGCTGATTGTACCTTTTTGTATCACGTATAGCGAAAGGTTGTAAACTTTTCATAAACGCGCCTGAATAAATTGTGCGCACAATAGACATAATGATGTGCTAAAACAAACGACAAAACAGATAACTTGATGAAATATCTAGATCGGAGGAACAGGTAGCCCAGATATTCAAGCAGGTCGCCAATCCATAAATATGTCAATATCTGTAATAATGTTGAATTTTAAATATTTTAGGTTGTAAGCAGCTGATGAGGACCTAACGAAATAAAATGAATTCATATTATTCTGCACCAATCTTTGTTCTTGCTCTCTTTAAAGTAATAAGAAACTTTTCATGATGCGTTAAACTTTCAGATACCAAATTGATTCTTATATTAGGAGCAGAGAAAACATTTTAGGTTAAATTGAGAGTTTTTAGTTTATGTTATTAGGTTTTTGATTGAGATCATAAATCGATTGATGTTAGATAACTACTGAAAACCTGGAACTACCAGACGGTCGTTTCGTACTAGTATGGGACTTCTTAGCAGTGTGCATCCACGATCCCGCTCATGAGATTCGAACCCAGGAACTATCAGTCTCGTGCGTGAACGCTTAACCTCTAAACCTATAGATTATTATATCAATCAAATGCTTAATAAGCTCTATGACCTCATGCTGTTAATTTTATTACTTTGGTTATATGCACAAGAATCTTTCATCTTGTCATATGATAAAGAAATTATGCTAACTAAAATGATTTATAAAATACAATTTCAAATACCACAAAACTTTCTACTCAAGGTTTCCTATTAATAATCATCAACCGTTATGCATCCCTACCCATATATTATTATTCTTAATATGAAGGAATGAAACTTTCCGGAGTATAATCATTCTTTCTTGTCAGTAATACTTATCAGATATTTTAATGGATAGAATGTAAAAGATTTGATCTTTAACGAAGACAATAAGCAATAATCGTATTATATGGATTAAATCTAATTCAGTTGTACTATTTTGGGTGTATTCATCAATTTTCTGTAAATAACGTGAGAAATAGAGAGATAGAAGTAAAAGAAAAGAAAGAAGATACTCGTCATTAGCTTTAAAACATAAAATGAAGTCTGTAAACGTTGACCACTTCAATCTTCATTTCGGAAGTAAGTTCAGTTTCATTAGTTCAAATGATTTTTTTTAATCTCAAATCAATGTTCAGAAAGTGGAAAAAAGAAAGCAGTAGAAAGGAAGCAACGATTATTTATTGTTCACTAATAGTCTTGAAATAAGGTTCAGTTGTTTCTTATATATAAACTCAATTTATTACGTAACACATCAAAGTAGTCGGTAAATACGATTCCTAATGAAATCAGGAAACAATATGAGTTATACGCTAGATATTTGTAAATATTCACTTGAAAAATATAAAGTTTATTCCCAAATAAATGCTACTTCTTATGAAGAAAACCAGATAAAAAATACCTACCATTGGTATAAGTGAGTCCATTAAACCAGGAGTATGAGAACGTTCTATCCATGCAGAAAAGAATAATGGTACACGTAAATTTAGTTGTACATTGATAAGAACGTTGTCTACAATGAATAGAAACAATAGACAAATTATAAATACATACATCGATATTTATTGTGTAGATTGATACAATGTACGTTAAAACTAGATAAAATTTACTATGATTCTGAACATAAGTCATTTAGACGATAATTGGCTTTATCTATTTATAACATAATAAATTGACTACTTTGGTTTTAGCTTTTTAGTGGTCCGAAATCTGACTCCAGATCGATTGTATTGTAGTGAACAAGAACACGAGTAGGGACAATCGAATGTAATTGGACACCAAATTACAGAATATCCCACTAAAATCTAAGAACCATATAGTAAATAGTTGATTTGCAAAATATCAATCCATAGTCTCAAACTTCACTCTTCCTCTTGCAAATATCAATCCATTGTCTCAGATTTCATTGTTCATGATTTTCATACCAATTGCGTTTGGTTCTCGTTCTTTCTTTCGCGATCTTCAACTGAGATACATTCTATGCCTGACCACCGTTATATACTACTTACATGGATATAAGTAACCCATACCACAGTATGATCATTATTCGTTCTGACTATTCTCGTCTATTATTATCGACTTAAATCGCATTAGTGAATAACGGTGTGGTGTCAGTCATTATTTTAAGCCCATGTATCTTAATCTAGCTTTCGGACATCCCATTCTATTCATTCTACTTGAGTCATATTTTGATTTTGTCAATTATTCGCTTATCAGTCTTGACTGTTTTTATATGAGCGTATATGTGTGTACACTTCATATCCCATGACTGACTCATCACATGTCTGTAGCTTATTTTGTCTGACTATAAATATTGAGTAACGCCTGACTAAAATGGAGTTGGCTTCTCAGCCATCTTCCCCGCGTGTCATTTTGCTTTGCTCTGTTTCATTCGCTTCATGTACAAAATATATGTATTCACAAATCAATTCTCGTTATTCGACTTATTTAATTCCGTTATTGACTAACGCGATTGAAGTCGACGATGATATACGAGAATAGGCGATAGCAAACATCTATACGATCTAAATGGGGTCAGATCCACGGGCTACTAAAACGGATCTAAATAAGTCAACTACGAGAACGAATTTCGGGTACGTACATTTTGTACAATCGTTGATCCAGACAAATGAGCAAAGAAGCAAAGCGAAGAGGAAAGAGCGAATCGAAATGGCGTGCAGTGGAGATGACATGTGAGCCAACTCCATTTAATCAATCGTGAATCAATATTTAGAGTAACACAAAAGTAAGCTACAGACATGTGATGAGTAGGATAAAATATGTACACACATATACGCTCATATAAAAACAGTCAGAGTTGATAAGCGGATAATTAAAAAGGTCAAAACATGACTCAAAACGAATGAATAAATTGGCCTGTGCAGAAGCTTCAATAAGTTATCAGGGCTTAACATAGTAACCGACACTAGAGCCCTTTTTTGTTCACTTGTTCATATGTATTTCTAAAGAAAACAAAAATGAAACCTTAAAATGCATAAAAATGACTTGAAATAATAGATAAAATTTGAAGCTGAGTTGAAAGATTTTGATGTTGTTGAGTCTTCTGAGTTAAATAGTTTAATTAAGGAGCTTTTATTGTCGTATCGGAGTAGATTTGAAGTGTCATGTCTACAACCGATGTTAATCAGCAGTGAACAAAACTAATTATCACACTAAATTATTTATCATTTAGAGTTTTATGTCTTGTTCCAGCACAATGCATTTCAAGCGTGGTATGTTTAAATCAGAGTACTTAAATGTCAGTTCAAATTTACAATCCAAATGGTTGATTGACATATGTTTTGACAACTGAGCAACCACTTCGCCAAGCAGTGTAATTCAACCATTTATTAATAATCAAACTTCTAAAGATTTAATCCAGTAATAATAAGAACAACCAATTTTCTACGTAGCACTTTCATGTCTTATACAATAATTCGACTGGTTTATGCGAAGTGACACTAAGAATATATAACTACTGTCATTGTTTCTACTTCAAAAATGATATGATTTAAGTGGTAAGATTCAAAAAGTTTATTATTCCACGGGAAATTACAGACAAGCACTGAATCGACTTCATTGTTCATAGTACAGCAAACAACAATACTTAACAAGTGAAATTCACTATACAAATCAAATTAATATCAAGGATGTCAAAACTAACTAAGTATTACAAATAAGAACTATGTAAAGTAATTGTTTCTACGATCGCATATATCATTATACAACAGAATGTATTCAAAACTTTAAATAATTTCTTGATGAATGCAGCTCTTACAAATCGGATTCTAAAAGGTGTGGGTTTAAAACGACAACAGATCTATTAATTATACAGAAGGGACATAGATAAGGGAATAGAATTATCGGGATGTCAAACTAATGAAACATTTGCATTCAGTTTACTGCAGTTCAAAAGTATCAAAAGTACAATATCTCTTGAGGCTGATATTTTCACAACTTGTCAAAAACAATCTACAAACTATCCAAATTATTTATAGGGTCGTGAAACATTTTTACTCGTTCATTCGATTCAGTTTTTAGATGTTTGCTAAATCTTATAAGTATCGAGAGCAGACTCAGTTTATGGCTGGTAATAAGATAATTAACTGAGAAATGAGGAGATTTTATTGAATATGAAATTAAGTTGTAACACCAGCTAGAATGGTGTTTTCTGGTTGCCTAATCCATGTCATCTTTATTTGGGTGAAGCATCAAAATCAAATTATATTTGAAATAAAGGAAATCGAGAAATAAACGGCTTTAAAGAGATAATAATGGATTATTGATATTTAAATTCATGAGTCCATTAAATCTAGAGCACTGTGGGAAACCTAGATGCATTGAACGACAATTTCGTCAAAGTATGAGACAACTCAGCACTGAGCATCCATCATCTCGCGGGTGAACAGTTAACCTCTAGACCACTGAGCCGGCATCCAGCAGTGTTAATGTTTAATCTCAACCAATTCACGATGTTGCACAACTGTACACCATTGTCTTCAGTGAGTAACTGCCTCTGCAACAGATAAGGTAAAATTCCACCGGCCACGGTCTCTCACTAGAACTTCAGGAAATATTTCTTGACAGCACATGATAATCATTATCAGAATACGCGTTCTTGTATAGTGTAATAATTTTTAATAATTGATTTCATGAATTATTATTGATATATTAAGAATGAACGGAACGGAAATAAACATTTGATAATCTTTGGTTATAAGCTAATGGTAAATCCAATAGAACTATTTGAACCCATGAGAAGATGTACATCTGTTCCACTCTGGTTACAAACGTCACAGCAATGAACATACAATCCTCTTGTGGCCAACCTTACGACCTACAACCTTACAACTACGATACTTTCCAACCATAGGTGAAAATTCCGATAATCCGCAGCTTAAATTTCACTCTATCTTACACAGAACAATCATAAACTAATGTTACTTCAGTGCCATTCAATAACAGGAAGACGATGTCATTTAATTAAGTATGCTCAATGATTAACGAAATTTCAAGAATAAATTATATATATATATAACTAGTTAGGAGCGGTGAAGATTTGTAGCTCAGGTGGATGATTTTAATGGAGTTTTGTTCTGCGAGTTGTATGATTCGATCGTGGAGCTTTCATTGCTCTTCTGAAAGACATTACCAGCACAAACTTTTATTTGTTGTTCTGATGATTTCGGTCCAGAAGAACGATGAAAGCTCCACGACTAAACCATCCAGCAAAGAGAACAAAACCTCACCAAAATAACTAGGGGTCGGCCAAACTAAGACGTGACACCAAACTTTAAAGTCACAAACTTCTGGTCTGAACATGTTGGTAAATGTGGACTACGTGCTTGGGGTCCGTGTGATTATCGTAACCAATGGTTGGAGACTTTGAGTGACATGTCTCACAATCAATCACAATGGCTTCGATGTTCATCTTGTTGTGCTAATCGAGTGTGAAGGGGGTACCATTTATTCATTTGAACACATAAATATTGGTACAAGGAGGCACCAAATACATATGTGCCACACAAACCTCACTTGATTTGTGTGAAGGCTGTTATACTGCCGGGTGTCCAGACCGAACAGGTGGTTTTCTTAGGGGGCCACACCCGGAGCCCTCGACCTGAAGGTCTGATCCACAAGGCCGTGGAGCATCGTAAGGAAATGCAGTCCCGTGGTAGCCGGTGACTGACGATTGGTTCATACGCCCTTTGTTCCTTCAGGATCCTGAAGCCAGCCCACGTGCACCATTGGTTTGGAATCCCGTTAAAACGCCGAACATTCGCTTTTCGTCCTCTTATTTTCGTAAACAACACACCCGCCACGAGAAGGCGATAAGTAGGCATTCCCTGGCAGAGGCTGTATATACGTGTCCGTGTGAGAGCGTTTCGAGAGGGAGGGCAGGCACAGCCCACTCTCGGCCGTACCAGGGTATTTGGGGGCATCAAGTATGGAAACTTGAACCGTTGCATATATGTACCTAGTCCTACGTTGTAGGTATACTGATATATATATATATATATAATACATGATTTGTGGTAGATGTAATCAAGTGTTTCACATATATGTAAGCAAAACAATATTAACATGTTCCTATCAATGCTCAATCAATGATTACATCATAAAGAAATATAATTATGGGTAATAAAAACAACTAACATCGAAAAAATGACAAACAACAATTTTTTCTCTAAAAAACAAACAAACTGATTAATTTGAATAACGAAACAAATTTTCTTTATTTTTTTTCTTCTCCTCATTTCATTTATGTTTTGTTTATTTATTGACTTCTCATCTAAATGTTTTTTTCTACGTATTTAATGATTTTATGATTATGAGTTTATTGTTGTGTACGAAAAGTAAAAAAAACAAAAAAAAGAAAACAAAATAAAGAATAACAAATAGTACGATGTAAAAGATTTAGGTCATATTCATTTATGATGCATTTTGTTTAACAACAAAAGGTTGTGGCGATCATGACAGGATTGTGGGTTAAGTTATTTCATATTACAACAG